CTGCTGACTCAACAGTGCCAGACCTTTGCAATGGACCTCAAATCCCCCAGGGAGGAGAGATTTGGGTCCTCCTACAGGAGGACCCAGGGCTCCTGGTGGGCAAGTGCATTCCTTCCCAGGGACAAGGGCACTCTACAGAGCCCAGGCCCAGCCTGACTGGGTGCAACTAACCAGAGAAGCATTTACCTTTAGGAGCTTCAAAAGCCACAACTGCCCCTAGCCCAGGGTCAGAGAAACACAATCCTTGGAAGATTTATCAGGTCTTCCCAGATCCCTGGTTTGCATCTTTCTTGTCAAATGGATCCACTGTTAGTCCTGTCTTTCTGATCAATACCTTTGTCTAAATTCTGCCTACAGACCCAAACCGTCCTGGTTCAAGTCAGCCCAGTTATCTTCTGCCTCTTGTGAATTATTTGTTAAGCATTTTCAATTCTTCTTCTAGGAGACTGATGACTCCAAATCAGGTGACATTTTAATACCCCTAGCAGTAAAAGCATTTATCTAAGCCAAAAAAAAAAAAAAAGAAACCAAAGTCTTATCTACTAGCATAATGTGTTTATCTCAATGAGATTTATCACATAAATGAAATAAAAGAGTGCCAAAAATCATGTTATTCCAGAAACATTCTTCCCCTAATATTTATAATGGCATGTTAAGTAGGAAAAATTCAGCAAATGATCAATTTAGAGAAAAAGAGCCTTTATATTTGGAATCTACCCATTAACTTAAAATCCACAAATCTTGTTTCATACAATAATGCATTCCTCCCCCCAATCTCAATATATTATCAAGTTATAATGAGAAAGTTTATATCTCATTTCACAGAATAACAAAAATAGAAGGGTTATCCCCTCAACGTATAAATGAGGAAACTGGGACTCAGAGGCCAAATTGCTTCAGATTAACTCAGCTAGTCCAAGAAAAGGGATGAATAATCAAAGCCTAATTCCAGTATGGTCAAAAATAAGAAAATAGAGAAAGGTACCTGGAAAATCTACAACCAAAGGCACAGGCTCCCAAAACCTGAATCTACAGAGCCAACTTTTACCCATGGCAGCTTTGGGAGCATCTCTGAAGAGCAGATTAAGAAATGTGGCAGAACTTATATCTGAAAGGTCTGGAGGCCAGGCTGGAAAGTGGTAGCTGTCCACCAGTTCAACCAGGGGCACCAGTTACAACCTGGGGCTGGCCCATCAATGGTGTGGACATTGTGGCCATGGTTACAGTGACCACCTGAGGAGAAGGGAGAAGTCTAGATTCCAGGTGTCTGTCGATTTTTAGGATGTGGTCTTGACCATATTCTCCTCCTACAGGCTGAGAACTAAACATAAAATGGAGCAGGTTAAGTGTATCAAGAACACAGATTTAGCCAGAGAATGCAAATGTTCTGCTAGCACCACGGAGATCTCATATATGTATAGGTACAGAAAACCAGACAATTGACCTTAGCTCTGGCTTGAGCCTCATGACAACCCCTGGGCTGGGAAGTAATAATTCAGACAATAGATGTTTAGCTGATGATAAGTGTCTGGGGCTCACCTCTTAGCCTATCCTTTGCAATTTCTTTTTATTCATTTTAACCTGATATCCCCTGCATACAAATGTTTAGTGATGAAGGAGGGTAATGGCACGAATGTGAGAAAGTTCTGGAAGTTTCCTCCCAAGAGCATCAGCTAAAGTTTTATCCACTTCAGAACAAGTAAACATACCCCAGGTCAGAGACATCACCAGTTACAGGCAAAAACACTCATTGACAGCCAGAAGAAGAAACCACAATCAGAGAGAGGGATACTGCAGAAGGGGGAATTAAGACACTCTCTCACACAATTTTCTAAGCAAAGAATTTAAAAGACAAGAGACACGACCCCAGCCTTTCTTAAATCCCTTACTATTGACTGTAAGTTTCTAAGCAAAGTTGATTTCCCCTGTTCCCAAATAATACTCCACCCACTCCGGTGGCCAATAGCTCCATCAAAAGTGTAGGCATTGTGGCCATGGCTACAGGGACCACCTGGGGAGAAGAGAGAAGTCCAGGCTGTAGATGTCTGTTGATTTTTAGGATGTGGCCTTGACCATATTCTCCTTCTTTAGGCCTGGAACTAAACATAAAACATAGAGCAGGTAAGTGTATCCAGAATATAGACTGAGCTATAGAGTGCAAAGTTGCTCTGCTAGCACCATGGAGAGCGAAGCCCAGTCTCAGGAGGCTCATGTGTTATTTGGGGTCACCTGCCCTCCCCACTCACCTGCTGCCTTTCTATAGCAGAGTGTCACGACTCAGCTGGGAGTGCTGTGATGGCTTCACACATAGTCAAGGGGGCTGGACATTGCTATTAATATAACCCACTTTTCCCCTTAGTACTTTCTCCCTGCAGTGATTCATTCCACCTGCAAGTACTTGAGCTGTACCTGGGTGGCTCATTTATTTGCAAATAATAATTTCACAAGCATTAAAAAAGTAGGCAATTAGCTTATTCTTAATCTTAATATGCCACCTGGCTAGCAGGTGGTCTCCTGCCCCAAGCAATGATGCAGGCATTCTGGAGTCATCTCTGCCTCTTGCTGTACATGTTACTTTGCCTCCATCACCAAGACCCTTTCAAATGTTCCTCCTTAGAAAATCTCAAGTTCTCAACTGAGCTTGTTATAGAAAAAGAGTTACAAACCCTTTGGGCAGCTGCCATCTAAAAACTCTGTTTTCCATATTTAGCTAGAGACCACAGTTTTCACTGAACTCATTCGTAATGTAAGTACCAACCACTCTTTAGAGACATTTGCTGGAAGGGATGTTTCATGTAGCACTCCCAAACCAGAGCTTGCCTGGAATAATCCCCACTCACATGATGTCAAAAGAGCCAGAAACAGCCCCTGGAAAAAACTGAAACATCAGTTGCTCTTTGCCCTTCAAATGAGCATTAAACCCACTATATATGTATCGAGAATATATTTATTATATATAGAAATGTACCAAGAATATTTATATATATATATAAATGTATCGAGAATATATTTATATATACACACACACACACACACTCATACCTGGTGTTTACTCTGGAGGTGCTCATTTAGTAGGCCTATAATGGAGGTCTTGAATCTAAACTTTTTAGTAGCATCATGGATAAGTTGGATGCACTCTCAGTTGAGATATTCTAGCTTAGAGCCTTCCTGGGGGCTTGTGAGAAATACAAAGCCATGAGCCTACCCCATGCCTACTGTGTTAGAATCTGCATGTTAACAAGACCCTCAGGTGATCTGTATGCACATTAAAATCTGAGAAGCACTGGCTTAGAGCACATACAGGTCAATAGGTTACTGTTCACAGCAGCAACCACATGTTTAGTGCTTTATATAATGAAGACTTTACCCTTGTTAAAGGAATTTCAAATATCTGGGAGCTTGATCCTACAGAAGCAGAGAATAAATATGGGAGCCCGAGGCCTTATAGGCACTCTAAAAATCACATCATGAGTCATGGGGACAGATGTCTATTTTGTTTATGCGTAAGGCCAGACCTCTGAATTTTCTTTTCTTTCTGAGACAGGTCTTATTCTGTTTCCCAGGCAACAACAGTTTTCGCATGGGGGTGGGGGTGAGGGGGGACTGTCTGGTGGTTACTGTAAAGGCTTGAACAGAAAGAAGTCAGGGTGAAAATATGCCCAAATGGGTGATTTGTCCACATGGCTGAGACAAAGTGCAGTGTTGCAATCTTTTTTTTTCTTAATTATGCATTTTAAACATCAATATGTACATTTGTTTTTACAGTTATAAATTTTCTCATCTGTTTTAGACAACAGCTTGTAATAGTTTTGAATCCATTAAGATGTTGCTTTCAATTTGAAATATTTTGTATATACATGTATATAAAAATAACCCAATGATGACTCATTTGACAGATGTTTAAGATCAATAAAGGCTTATTTTTCAACATGCAGTTAGGAAGAAAGGGAAGCAAGCCAACCTCTCTACACTCTCTTTTGCTGGCTTGTTTTTGCAGTGGTATCAGTAGTGTTTTTGGAGGGAACCACATGCCTTCAGCCTATCTAGTTAAGATCAGATACCACAATCAACAAGAAGGGTAGAAGAGATGGGGAACGGGGAGTGGGTAAGTGTTAAATATCAATTTTTGAAGTGTGCATTTTGTACTCTTTCTAGGTACAGGATTAAAAACAGGCCAATGAGGAAAAAATTGTTATAATTGTTATAAATTGTTATGTTGTTTTAAAACTGCAATCAAATCAAGACATAATAGCCTAATTAAGTTCTTTTAATAGATTGCACATATAGATGTTTAGCCATACTCTTAGATCAACTCTTTAACAGTAGAACTTCATATCCAATTAACATGGTCTAGATACCACCTTTCTTATTTTTTACAGTAAAGTCTGGTATTTAAATACCTACTTCTACACTGACAGCTTTAAGAAAAACAGGACACAGAGGGAGTTGTCATTTTTAGCAGCAATGAAATACCACCAACCCATTTTTACATACCAAATTCAAGTCCCTATCAGAAGTGAGTGGACCACAAAGTCACCGGGTACAAAATTGCTAGTTCATTTTTAAATCAATAACTTGAAATTACCCTTGCCCCCAACCCCATTACATCTTTTTATAAACAGCAAACTTTTTGCTGTTTTATACATAGGCTAGCAGGCTTGTTTCAATATGAAAGTGCTAACTCATTTACAGAGTTTTATAATCAGTTATGTAGTGCTATAATAAATGTCCAATAATCTACATAGGAACAATGATGAATAAAAATGATGATTGAATAAGGCTATCAAATTACCTTATCTTATTTACATATAAAGAATAGATACCCAATGGTGAGGAAGAGACAGAAATTGAACAAATTCTCACAGGTTTAAAAATTACATCTACCTTTGAGTTTTATACTGTAAATGAGACATTTTAAGTAGCCCATGCCTATTTTTTCCTCAGAAAAAGAAAAGTTGCCTTCATGACATCCCCTCTTGTGTCAGATTTCCACAGTGTCACTTTGAAGCTTCAGAGTCAGGATCTTACTTTCTTCAAAAAATAAAGAAAATACACCCCCTAAGGCACCTCCAATCCTCCCCACCCCCAAAATCCCGCCAGTTTCTTTTCCAGTGCCAGGTTGCATGGTCAGGTCCTATCTCCCGGGATTATTGTTGTGATTTTTTTTTCTGTCCATCTATTGATCATTAGTTTCGAATAGATAACATGAACCGGTTCTGGAACCACTGCTAGGAGGAACACAAGCTCTTCACTACAATCACACAGCAGGAAAGAAAGAGATAAATCAATTCATCCCTGGTGCTGGGCCTCCAAAATTGAAAGAATTTGGCACAACTGGAGCACTGAATTTGTATCCTCTGTGCGTCTCAATCATTTTGGATTCATGGGCTGCTCTTCTTTGATCAGCCAGAGTTGCTACGTCTGTAACTATTTTCTTTGTTCTTCATTAAGACCATGAGTCAGAGACTGATACCACACAGGATTATGATTTTGAATAGTCTGAAAGATAGCTTTAAATATCTGATACTCAACAACAGGGTTATCTTCGTCATCAATGACTGTGGAATAGCCTTCCTGAGCAGTTTCTTCAGCATCATCTTCTTCCCAATTTTCATCATCTCCATCTTCACCTGCCTGCTTAGCCAGAATCTCCAAATGTTCTTTCTCGTCTTTATCAATATCATCTTCATCACTCCCCAGTTCCTCGGTTTCATCATCATATTCAGCTTCATCATTATCACTGTCATTTTTGGACAAAAGAGCATGGCAGGCATATGCTCTTTTCAATCCATTCAATAAAAGGATAAAAGCTGGCAAAATCTGTCCAGAAACCTGATTCAAACCTTGGAGTGTCTGTTCCATATCAATAAGAGCACAGAGACTAAGACCACACATATTTCTGTCATGAAGCCTCAAGAAACAGTCAACATCATTAAGCCACTGTCTCATAAAATTATTTGTAACTGGTTCAACATTATTAGGGAAGTGAAGATTTTCTAAGGTATTGAGTAATAGCTATGCATTATAATGCAAAGCTGCAATTGCAACTTGCAGACATATAGTTCAAAGTTCACTTGTCTTAACCTCTCGTCAGTCTTTCTAAGGCTGCTTGCACGAATAAGGGAATGCACTGGTCAATGTTACGCCCTTTGCACTGCAGAATGATGACCTCTAACAATTTTGCCGCATGACACTCTGCATCTTCTCCTGCAACTCCTGTAAGAACCTTTTTGCACATACTGTATATCATTTCAAGATACTTGGTATCAGACAGAAGTGTCTTGCTAAGAACTGTTACATAATTATAAAGGAGCGGCACCATATCTGTAAAGTAATCAAAGCCATCTTGCTGAAAGACTTCAAATACAAGGGGTGGTAGCTGCCACATTTGTGGAGACATTTGTTGACATGTCAGGCTACACGCTAAAGAGAATATCTCCTCATAGGAATCTGAGACATGCTGTTGTAAAACAGTACCAATGACCTGTAAGCAGATTCCCTCAAGCTGTTGGGTTATCTCTTTATGATCTTCAACTACAACTAAGAAGTGTGTCAGCTATATTCAGAATTCCCATAGCAGTAACTGCTTTGTCATCACTACCTTCTTTATCAGGCCCGATCTGGATTACTTGGCTAAATGTCATTGCCAACTATTGTGTCATTTCTACTGCAACAAGAGTAACTTCTTCGCTATTTTCACAGATCATTTTCCGAATTACATTGGTAAGGTCATCATTTTCTGTTTCTCTTATAATATGACGAAGAGCCTGCATTACACGTCTGATGAATGGTGTGATATATTCTTTAAATTTTTCTTGATTGCTGATCAATACTTGAAAGACAATGGCAGCTTCCACTTTCACAGGCATGTCTCTATCATCAATCAGACATCTTCTTGTTAGCTCTAAAGCTGTCTGAAGGTTCTGATCACTTTTGAACTTTACTTCACAAAAATAGTGAAGCACCCAGCAAGCCCTTGCTCTCATAGCCTAGTTCACTGCTGAAGAGAAAGAATACATGATTCTGCAACATGTATTCCATCTGATCTTTATAGATCTTCTTCTTCAGAAGTATCTCAGCTCAAGACCCAATCATATGCAGGGCTCCATCTGTTTTTCAAAGGTCAGCATTTGGTTCTGTAAGAATCCGGTAACAAAATCCCAGAGTCTTTTGAAGTACCTGTTTCCTCTTACTACAGGCTGTAAACAAAAGCTTCTGGGCAGCAGTGGTAAAAGAAATGAAATCTTCAAACACATCAAACTTCATGCGTATATATTCGTAAGGGTCTTCTTCCCGAAGTTCCTCATCAGCATCTGTATAACACATCAATGGAAAAATAACATCTTGGATAATGCCTTGTATATGGGGTTTCAGATTCTTCCAGGTGAGAGCATGAGAAACTCCTTGATTAATAGAATTTAATGTCTGTTGTAAAACTTGAGGAACCATATATTGCTTCTCCTTGTATTGTTATAACACCTTTAATAAAACTTTCTGGACACCAACAACAAATGCCTTCAGAAATACTTCAGCCAACTTACTATACTCCTAGGAAACATTGCCAGGGCTTTCATATCTTTCAAAAAGTCTTGCTAAAATATGTAAGGCCCACTTCTTGCATTTTCACTATGGTAACTCAGGTCGATCGTCTTCTTCAATTCGAAGTGTTTCAGTCTTCAGAATTTCTATCCATTCTGTCAGGTTCTGTTGGTTTGTCAGTTCCAGTGGCAGTATATGCTGAATAAGAGCATAGAAGATCTTGAATATTTGTTTCTGGATGATGACAGACTGATCAGACTGGTCAGAAAGAAGCTGGATAAAATGATCCTTTAGAACTGGCAGAAAATGCTGCATTGCTGTTACTAATGGACTCCACTCCTCTAGTTTTTTATACTCATAATTTTTCCAAGCTGATAAAGGCAAAGAAGAATTCCTAGCCAACAAGCACTGTTATCGTACTGAAGATAAAAGCCAATTTTGTCCACAATGGCTGTCCAGCAGCTTGGATAATCATGTTTGATGATGTGATGAATGCATGTAGTAAGCTGTACCCTGATGAGCTCAGGAGAATGGATAATGGCTTCTACAATATTTTCTCAAATACAATGGTAATCTTCTTCTGGAATAGTATAAGGGGATATATACCCTTGTGCTGTTTCTCGACCAAGCCAATACTGTGTTATATTTTTCAAATACGTAACACCTGCCTGTCTCACAGGTAAATCCAGTTGTTCCAACAGTAATCTGGAGTAGCGGTGAGACAAAGTTCAGAGACTTGTGTGTTTCATTGAGCTGGCGCTCTAAGGTCTCTCGCAGGGCTGGGTCCATGGTGCCCTGCAGGGCCTCGATAATGGTGTTGGGGTCCATCGCAGCACAGACTCAGTCAAACCCGGGGCTTTGGTGCTACTGGGCCAGGAAGAGTGCTACTCACTGCACACATGGACCTGCCGCAGCAGTAACTGGCACAAAAGGGCAGTGGTGCAATCTTAACTCACTGCAACCTTGAACTCCTGGGCTCAAGTGATCCTCCCACCTCAGCCTCCCAAGTAGCTGGGACTGCAGGCTCATGCTACCATGCCAAGCTGACTTTGTGTTGTTGTAGAGATAGGGTCTCACTAAGTTGCCCGGGCTGGTCTCATACTCCTGGTCTCAAGCAATCGTCCTCCCTCAGCCTCCCAAAGTGCTGGATTTACAAGCCTGAGTCACCATGCATGGCCAATATTTTCAACAGTTAGAGGCAGGAATGAAAAACAATTCCTTTTTGCTTTGCTCAAAATAAGTATTTGTGAGCATCCACTTAAGAGTTACTGTGCTAGATGCTGGACATACAAATAGAAATAAGACCCAGTTCCTGCTCTTGTGGAAAGGGCAACATTAGAGAAATGTTCAGGAAATGGAGCAAAGGCCCTTATCTCAGCTTAAGGAAGTCTTAGCTCACTATTGTTTGGCTGAATCTCAAAAATGTACAAACCAATAGGAGTGTCCCCTTCTTCCCCACAGATTCCCTGAAGCCAGTGAACTGTATGGCAGGAAAACCAAATACTAACTGTGATTTGCCCTGTCCTAGGAGGCAAGAGAAGGGACTTCAGGGCATGCATGTCAAGTTAGGCTTTGATGACTTGTGTTAGAAGGTTCAGGAAGAAAGGAGCATCACTTATCCCCTATGAAAAAAAGGAATGGCCAAGAGACCTTCCTTGAATCCATGAAGAGCTTCCAAAAGGAAAAATTTTAAGTTTAGGGATGATAAGGAGCAGAAAGGCTTGGTCTGCTTTACCTGGTGAGCCTATCAATGTACCCATCAAGCACATGCTCGTTACCCAGCAGAGTGTTGGGCACTAGGGGGTGAAGGAGGATAGAATCTAAGATTACTTTTAGCTCTGAAAACCTCAAGACCATCTAGGTTAGGCTCTTCATTTTACAAAAGACAAAGTGCAGACCCAGAATAGGCCTTATCCAAAATCACATTACTAGCTCTTGAGTACAGGATTACTAGCAGGCTGCAATCTGGGAAGATGGCTGAAGTACACTCGACACCATATAAAACTCCAGCATCAGTACTTTGGGCAACATGTAGTCACCAGAGGTTTCTGAGCTGGTGACCAGCTTAGTCAAAACCACTTTCCCCCTTGATAATAGTAAATGCCATTTCCAGTTAAGTTACAGATGACAGATTTTAAGTAATGTTTCCATGTCTATGTGTGAGATCTGAATGGTACCTCCATTACTGGCATTACATTTTATTCCTCAACCCTCCTCTTCACAGCTCTTATTAGGAAAGCAGGGAAAGTCAGGTGATGAGGCCCACAGGAGCTGTGCCTTGCCAGTGTTCCCTCATGAAAGGCTGCAGCCAGAACTGTGTCCTTCCTTCTTGATGCAGGTCTCTATGCTTAACTTGTTCACCCTCTGTTCCAGAGCATTAGGTGCTCCAAGTGAAGTACTTTTGAATTCTGTCAACCCTGACCTCTCCCCTGTCATGTAGAAAGGCCTCAAGTGGTAGTTTCTGGGGCTACTGATCATACAAGCACATGCACCCTTCTCAGGAGAGGGAAATTAGAAAACTTGCTAACTAGAGGTGCCATGGCAGGTGCCAACTGGATCAGTGCAGGATGGAATAGCACATTCCAGAGAGCCTCATGAGTCCACTGCTAAGGGTAGAGCTAATTTACAAGAAACATGCAGAGGGTTTGGCTGGATCCCCTCTGATACTAACTGAGCCCAGCTCTCATATGCCTATGGCATGGAGCGGATGGTGCTGGGGCAGGCTTCCCTCAGCCTGACAGCAGAGCAGCTGTCTCTACTATTGAGCCAGGTGTGACCCCAGAATGCCGTCTCTAACCCCTCAGCATGGTAGCAATGCCATGGCAGTGAGGATGTGGGGAATGAGGAGCAGCTTAGGGGAGACTAAGGCATTGCAGGGCTGAGGTCCACTATGCAGCTCCAGGTCCCCCTACCACGCTTCTTCAAGAACGGAGTTGGTAGTAAAAGATTATCACCAAGTTCCTCTCAACTCAGCAAAACAAGTGGGGAAGTGAGAAAAGAAAGGAGGAGGAAGATAGCTTCCTGTACTGTGAGGACTAATTGCAAGCAAAACGTGTGTCAGCTGCCACTGCACACAGTAAACACTCAATGGATGGTAACCTTAAGGGTTTGGGCTGCAGCTTTAGTGCCCAAATCCTATGCCTATGGAGGGACTGAGGTACTTGGACAACAACAATCAAGGCAGGTGGAGAAAATCCTGGTTTTGATTGTACCAAAACAAATCACCTCACCCTTAGCAGAGTAAGACAACTAGCATTTTACCATGTTCACTGATTCTGAGCATGAGAAATTTAGAAAAGGACCAGCAGGATGGCTTGTCTCTGTTTCTTGACATCTGGAGCCTCATTCCGAAAGATTCAAAGATGGGGTAACTTAATTGGAATCATCTACGAGCCATAACTGGTGGTTGACCCATGCTGTCAGCTATAACCTGAAGCTGTAAGCTGGAACACCTATACATGGCCCTTCCATGTGGCTGTGTGAGTTTCTTTACAGAATGGTAGCTGGGTTCCTTTTTTTTTTCTTTTTTTGTCTTTTTTTCGAGATGGAGTCTTGCTCTCTCTCTCAGTCTGGAGTGCAGTGGCGCAATCTCGGTTCACTGCAAGCTCCGCCTCCCAGGTTTACACTGTTCTCCTGCCTTAGCCTCCCAAGTAGTTGGGACTACAGGCGCCCGCCAACATGCCCGGCTAATTTTTTGTATTTTTTAGTAGAGACAGGGTTTCACCGTGTTAGCCAGGATGGTCTCAATCTCCTGACCTTGTGACCCACCTGCCTCAGCCTCCCAAATGCTGGGATTACAGGCATGAGCCACTGCGCCCGGCCGGTAGTTGGGTTATAAGAGTAGGTGTCCCAAATAAATCACGCAGAATCTGTATAACTTTTGATGACTTAGCCTATCACTATAATGTGACTTCTGCCATAGCCACAAGGTTTTCCAGGTTCAAGGGCAGAGAACAAGTATCAAAGGCAAATTTTTAAAAGAACATGTGGAATGGAAGGTAATATTAAAGCTATCTCTGGAATATACAATCTGCTTCATTTGTCAGGCTAAATATATGCTCCCATAGTCTCCCAATGCAGAGATATTATGTGCAATGTCTGGAACAAATATTTTCATATGACAGCTCATTAATTCAGTCTTTACAATAATACTGCAAGGTAGTTTATTATTACTCCATGTTTTACCTGAAACTGAGCTCAAAAAGTTTAGACATCTTGACCAAGGTCATACAGTTTTTAAGCACCAAAGCAGTATCAAAATCAGATCTAAATCTGTTAACTACTTATTAAAACTCAAAGCTCATAGTCTTTAGAGGACATTTTGGGTCAAACTAAATGATCTTGGGTTCTAGGGCAGTAGGAATAAGGTGGCAAAGAAAAAAAAAAGGCAGCTGTTCATTTGATTCCTAAATGTTCACAGTGTACATACAGTGCTGAAGCTAAGCTTTGTAACTCTTAAGTGTTATTTTTTTCTAATAAATGCATTTTATGTAAGGGAAGACTTTGAAAAACAGTATCTCCAGATAGAATGGAAACTGGGCCACCTTACTAGTCTCTCCTACACCCCAATCGCATTTTCCAAAGTAGAGAGAAAGGTACAGTTCAGAACCTCTGTTTTTCAAACTGGAATAAGGCCCCTCTCTTACTTTTCCCCCAACTCTTTAAGATAGATCATTTTTATTTTGAAACTTAGCCTAGATTGTGGGGCAAAGAACAATCAAATGAAACGGGTGAATTCCCATTTTGATCCTTATTGTCATTCTCTATCTCAGGTAGCTGATGGATCCAGGCTAAATGTGAGTCAAAAAGTATGTTACAGATCAGCTTTAGTTGAAAAAAAAAATGGGTATATATCAATACAACTCAATGGGGGAATAAAAACTTTTTCAACAAATAATGTTAAGACAACTGGATATCTGCATGCAAGTGAATGAAGGTGGACCCCTACCTCACACCATACACAAAATTTAACTGAAAATGGATCATAGTCTTAATTGTAAAAGCTAATGCTCTAAAACTCTTAGATGAAAATATAGGGGCAAATCTTTATGACCCTGAGTTAGACAAAGCCTCCTTAATTGTGACACCAAAAGTACAGTCTACAGAAGAAAACTAGATAAATTGGACTATGTGAAAACCTAAACTTTTGTACTGCAAAAGATACCATCAAGCAAGAAAAAATGCAACCCACAGACTAGCAGAAAATATTTGCAAATAAAATACCTCATAAGAGATTTGTATACAGAATATATTATTAAAAAACTCATAACCCAATAGTGAAAATATTAATAACCCAAAATAGGCAAAGGATCTAAACAGACATTTCTCCAAAGAAGATACAGAAATGGCCAATAAGCACATGAAAAGATGTTCAACATCCCTAGTCATAGGGGAAATGCAAATCAAAACCACAATGAGACATCACTTTACACCCATTAAAATGGCCATAATCAAAACGACAAGTGTTAGTGATGATGTAGAAACATTAGAACACTGAAATTGTTGGAAGAATGTAAAGTGGTGCAGATGCTTTGGAAAACAGTTTAGCAGTTCCTCAAGATGTTAAATGTGGAGTTACCAAATGACTCAGCAATTCCACTCCTAAGTCTATACCCAAAAAAGGCAGAAACAAATGTCCATATGAAAACTTGTACATAAATGTTCAATAACGTTCAGAGGAGCATTGTTCATAATGGCCAAAAAAGTGAAAACAGCCCATATACCTGTCAACTGATGAACAGATGAATTAGATGTGGTATAGCCATACAATAAAATATTATTCAGTAATAAAAAGGAATGAAGTACTGATAAATGCTACAAAATATTAGAACCTTGAAAATGTTATTCCAAGTGAAATAAGCCAATCACAAAAGACCACATATTGTACAATTCTATTTATATAAAGTGTCCAGAACAGGTAAATCTAGATTTAGAAAAAGTAGATTAGTGGTTGCCTAGGCCTACAAAATGTGAGGAGAAATGGAAAGCGACTGAAAATGGGTATGGGGTTTCTTTCGGGAGTTATGAAAATGTTCTGAAATTGATAGTGGTGATGGTTGCACAACTCAATAAATGTACTTAAAACTACTGAATTGTACATTTTAATTATGCAAATTGTATGGTAGGTGAGTTTTATTTCAATATTTATATCCACACACACATACACATATATGTTTACACACACACACACATATATATATGTCCAAAGCAAATTCATATTAAAGTGGGGGCAATGTCAAGAATAGAAAACCACCCACAGATGCTCCTCTGCTTTAGCCTGACATGTGGCTATGTGACCAAAGGTACTGTGAAAAGCAATTAGATGGTGCTTTCTGAAAAACAATTTTATTGAGGTATAATTTACATGTGACAAAGTACTTCCATTTGAATTCATAGCTTGATGTGTTTTCACAAATGTGACCACCATATAACCAACACATTCAAGATACAGGATATTTTTTTACCCCCAAAAAAGTCCCATGTGCCCCTCTGTCCCAAAATGACCAGCCCTAGGCAACAATTGAGCTACTTTGTCATTTTAAGTAAGTTTTGCCCTTTTCTATAATTCCAGATAAATTAAATCCTACAGCATGTACTATTTGGGATCTGGACTGTTTTATAACTCAGGATAATATATTTGAAATTCAACTATGTGTCATGCATATCTCTAATACATTGCTTTTTTATTGCAGAGAGTATTCCCTTATATAAATAGACTAAAGTTTGTTTTGCATTCATCTGCTTAAGGACATTTGATATTTTTCCCTCATTTTAGTTATTATGAACACTGATATACAAGTTTTTGTGTGAACATATGTTTTCATTGCTCTTCGGTAAATGAACAGAAGTGGAAACACCAGGTCTTATAAGTGTATGCCTAACTTTATAAGAAATTGCCAAGCTGATTTCCAAAAATGTTAATACTATTCTACGTACCCACAAGCAATATATGTAAATCTTTTGAATTTTATTCATCATAGTGGGTATCTCATTGTAGTTTTCAATAGCCTTTCCTTGATGACTAATTAAATGAAGCATCTTTTCATGTGCCTTTGGCCATTCACGTGTGCGTGTGCGTGTGTGTGTGTGTGTGTGTGTGTGTGTGAAGTGTCTGTCCAAATCTTCCGCCTATTTAAAAAATTATTTTTAATTGAGTTGTATAAGTTTTTTTTAATACATTCGGGATTCAAATCTTTATCAGCTTAGTCTGTGGCTTAAAATTTCATTTTCTTAATGGTGTCTTTCTTAATAGTGCCTTTGATAAAGTCCAATGTATCATTTTTTTGCTTTTATGTTTCAAATGTCTTGTGTCCTAAGAAATCTTTGCATATGCCAATGTTGAAAAACCTCTAGTTTTACAGTTTTAATTTTTATGTTTCAGTATACTACCTGAGTTAAATTTTGAGTCTAAAGGGTTGAAGTTCATTTTTTGTATATGAACATCCAATTTTGTAGAACCATTTGTTGAAAGACTATTTCCCCACTAAAATATCTTCTTAACAACATTTCATCACAAGATTCCTCATTTCCCTTTTATAGTCACACCTACTTCCTTCCAACTTTCCTTTAATCCTCTTCTCATTAACTCCTACCAACCACTAACCTGTTTTCCACTTCTATAATTTCATCATTTCAAGAATACTGAATATATGGAATCATAAAGTATATAACATTTTGGGATTTGCAGTTTATTCTTTGCATTTATCCATGTATGATGCTCTTCCTTCATTTGTATAGATTTAAGTTTCACTGATAGTGTTTGTCTTGCATCTGAAGAACTTGCATCTTAAGTCCACTGGTGAATAATTCTGTCAGCTTTTGTTTGCCTGAAAAAGTTTTCATTTCATATTTATTTTTGAATGGTTTTTTTTTTTTTGAGACGGAGTCTGGCTCTGTCGCCCGGGCTGGAGTGCAGTGGCCGGATCTCAGCTCACTGCAAGCTCCGCCCCCCGGGTTCCCGCCATTCTCCTGCCTCAGCCTCCTGAGTAGCTGGGACTACAGGCGCCCGCCGCCTCGCCCGGCTAGTTTTTTGTATTTTTTAGTAGAGACGGGGTTTCACCGTGTTAGCCAGGATGGTCTCGATCTCCCGACCTCGTGATCCGCCCGTCTCGGCCTCCCAAAGTGCTGGGATTACAGGCTTGAGCCACCGCGCCCGGCCTTGAATGGTATTTTTATTGGATATAGAACTCTAGGTTGACAGTTTGCTGTTTTCGTTACAGCTCTTTAAAGATGTGATTTCATTTTCTTCTCATTTAAAAGTTTCTGACAAGACATATGTGAGTATTGTTATCTTTGTTCCTCTGTATGTAATTTTTTTGTCAGCTCTTAAAATTTTCTCTTTATCAATTTTGTTCAGTAATTTGATCATGAACTCCTTTGTGTTTTATCCTTCTTGGAGTTGTTGACCTGCCTGGATCTGTGAGTTTATAATTTTCATAAAATATGAAAAGTTTTTAGCCAGTAGTTGAAATTTTTTCTGCCCTTCATCCTTTCTGGGACTCCAATGACATGCATATTTACAACAGCTGTTCAAAAGACCCTGTTTGTCAATTCTATTTTCTCTGTCATTTTA